AGAAGCTTACAGTTCCTAATACTTAAGAGACTTTTCTGATGAGATCAGTGGCAATATTAACAAAGATAATTTTTTGACATTGTGTAATGAAATGTTTTTTACTGAATTTAGGAGATCTGAATAATTCAGTGAATCAATATTTTCCAAAAGACAATGCATCATGTTATAAATTCATGCTGTAAATTCCCATTATAAAATCCATTCAAAGAGCAGGAGAGAACATTTTAATATAACAGAACATAAAAATTAATGGATATGTTTTGAGATTCCATATTACAACTAAACTTTAAGAAACTACCACTTATCAGGGTGACTCAGTCATTAAGTGTCTGCCTTTGGCTCAGGTCATGATCCCAGGGTTCTGGGATCAAGCCCCGCATCGGGCTCCATGCTCAGTGGGAAGCCTGCTTCTCCCTCTCCCACTCCCCCTGCTTGTGTTCCCTCTCTCGCTGTCTCTCTCTCTCTAATAAATAAAATAAAAAAAAAGAAACTACCACTTATCAAGTTATGTTATAATATCAAAGAATATCATAAGTTACTTGAAAAGGCTATTAACATACTCCTCCCCTTTCCAATTATATATCTGAGTGAGGTTAGATTTTCTTTATATACTTCACCCAAGATAACTTATTCCAAACATTTAAACATTTGCAAAAATGTAAAATAGTGCCGTATCTTCTCACCCATTTTTTAAAATAGTTATTTTTCAAAAAAACATGATGGGTTATTTTTATTTATTTTTTCCCCTGTGAAGATTTATTTTTTTATTTTATTATGTCATGTTAATCACCATACATTACATCATTAGTTTTTGATGTAGTGTTCCATGATTCATTGTTTGTGTATAACACCCAGTGCTCCGTGCAGAACGTGCCCTCTTTAATACCCATCACCAGGTAACCCATCCCCCCACCCCCCTCCCCTCTAGAACCCTCAGTTTGTTTCTCAGAGTCCATAGTCTCTCATGGTTCGTCTCCCCCTCCGATTTCCCCCCCTTCATTTTTCCCTTCCTACTATCTTCTTGTTTTTTATTTTTTTTAACATATAATGTATTATTTGTTTCAGAGGTACAGGTCTGTGATTCATCAGTCTTACCCAATTCACAGCGCTCACCATAGCACATACCCTCCCCAATGCCCATCACCCAGCCGCCCCAACCCTCCCACCCCCCACCATTCCAGCAACCCTCAGTTTGTTTCCTGAGATTAAGAATTCCTCATTATCAGTGAGATCATATGATACATGTCTTTCTCTGACTTATTTCGCTCAGCATAATACCATGATGGGTTATTTTTAAATAAATTAAAAAATAACTTCTCATATGATAAATATTGGAAGGTACAAACCATGTAAACAAAAGCTCTCTGGAGTCCTCAACAATTTTTAAGAGTGCAAAGGGGACCTGAGACCAAATCGTTTGTGAACCACTGCCTTCGACTATAAAAAGGTACCCAGACCTAGCAGTGCATGAATCACAATGTGAAAAAAGTTTCAAAATATATACAGATGCCAAAGTCCCAGTCACGTGAGGAACAGCCCCCTCACTGTATTTAAAGAAAAATGTTTGCCAAATGATTCTTACACATGACAAATTTAGAAACCACTGAAACTATCATGGTGATTGTGACCTTTGGAAAAGCTATTCATTGCTGCCCCCCAGTGGCAAATTTGCTTTCATTGCTAGAAATAAAATCTGAATAAAATGAAGCCCAGAAACTCAGCCAGACACAATATTCTAATTCTGTAAGGACCTCCAGAGGTCATCTAGTCCACTCCCAGTTTATAGATGGAGACTTACAACAACCACACATCACTGCAATATACTGTGATAAATGCTATGCTATGCTTTGGTTAAGTAGAGGGTATGAAAAAAAAATAGAGGAGGAGGCATCTATTCCAGACTTCTCTTCGGCCTATCCTGGCTTATCTCCAGGAAGATAAATTTCCAGAGGCAATTACTGTTAAGCTGAAACCTGGAAAATGGGCAGGAGTTAAAGGATTGGGATATTCCAGTCAAAAGGGATGGCAAGTACCAAAGCTAAAAGGTAAAACAGACCACGATTTGCTCAGTACCGAGTAGAACAGCAGTGACCAATTTCAAAAGCTTGCCAAGTACCAGGTGCTCACAACAACCCTATGGGATGTTACCTCTCAACCAACCCTATCAAGTAATGCTGATATGAACTACTTAGAGTTTATCATTTTTCTTTCCTTTAGAACTTTTTGAAAAGCAGCTAGCTTTCCAAGGACTGTTGATCCTGGGAAAAGCTTACCCAGAAGTACATAAGCTACTTTCCTTTATGCTTTAAAAAGGACTTATTAGGAATTGCTTTAGAAAACACCATAAGATACCTAAGAATAAACCTAACCAAGAGGCAAAGGATCTGTACTCTGAAAACTATAGAATACTCATGAAAGAAATTGAGGAAGACACAAAGAAATGGAAAAATGTTCTATGCTCATGGATTAGAAGAACAAATATTGTTAAAATGTCTATGCTATGCAAAGCAATCTATAGATTCAATGCAATCCCTATCAGAATACCATCAACATTTTTCACAGAGCTAGAACAAATAATCCTAAAATTTTTATGGAACAAGCAAAGACCCCAAATAGCCAGAGGAATGTTGAAAAAGAAAAGCAAAGCTGGCGGCATCACAATTCCGGACTTCCAGCTCTATTACAAAGCTGTCATCATCAAGACAGTATGGTACTGGCACAAAAACAGACACATCGATCAATGGAACAGAATCGAGAGCCCAGAAATGGACCCTCAACTCTATGGTCAACTCATCTTTGACAAAGCAGGAAAGAATATCCAATGGAAAAAAGACAGTCTCTTCAACAAATGCTGTTGGGGGAACTGCAAAGCCACATGCAGAAAAATGAAACTGGACCACTGTCTTAAACCATACACAAAAATAGACTCAAAATGGATGAAAGACCTAAATGTGAGACAGGAATCCATCAAAATCCTAGAGGAGAACACAGGCAGCAACCTCTTTGACCCCGGCCGCAGCAACTTCTTGCTAGACACAAAGGCAAAGGAAACAAAAGCAAAAACGAATTATTGGGACTTCATCAAGATAAAAAGCTTTTGCTCGGGCACCTGGGTGGCTCAGTCGGTTAAGCGTCTGCCTTTGGCTAAGGTCATGATCCTAGGGTCCTGGGATCAAGCCCTGTGTCGGGCTCCTTGCTCAGCAGGGAGCCTGCTTCTCCCTCTCCTCCCCGCTTGTGCTCTATCTCTGTCTCTTGCTCTTTCTCAAATAAATAAATAAAAATCTTCAAAAAAAAAAAAGCGCTTTTGCACAGCAGAGGAAACAGTCGACAAAACCAAAGGACAACCTACAAAATGGGAGAAGATATTTGCAAGTGCCTTATCAGATAAAGGGCCAGTATCCAAGATCTATAAAGAACTTATCAAACTCAACACCCAAAGAACAAATAATCCAAGCAAGAAATGGGCAGAAGACATGAACAGACATTTCTCCAAAGAAGATATCCAAATGGCCAACAGACACATGGAAAAATGCTCAACATCACTTGGCATCAGGGAAATACAAATCAAAACCACAATGAGATACCACCTTACACCAGTCAAAATGGCTAAAATTAACAGGTCAGGAAAGGACAGATGTTGGCAAACATAGGAGAAAGGGGAACCCTCCTACACTGTTGGTGGGAATGCAAGCTGGTACAGCCACTCTGGAAAACAGTATGGAGGTTCCTCAAAAAGTTGAAAATAGAGCTGCCCTATGATCCAGCAATTGCACTACTCGGTATTTACCCCAAAGATACAAATATAGTGATCCAAAGGAGCATGTGCACCCCAATGTTTATAGCAGCAATGTCCATAATAGCCAAACTATGGAAAGAATCCAGATGTCCACCGACAGAAGAATGGAGAAAGAAGATGTCGTGTATATATATATATATATATATACACACACACACACACAATGGAATATTACTCAAACATCCAAAAAAAAAAAAATCTTGGGGCACCTGGGTCGCTCAGTCGGGTAAGCATCTGCCTTCGGCTCAGGTCATGATCCCAGGGTCCTGGGATTGAGCCCCACATTGGGCTCCCTGCTCAGTGGGGAGTCTGCTTCTCCCTTTCCTACTCCCCATGCTTGTGCTCTCTCCCACTTTGTCAAATAAATAAATAAAATCTTAAAAAGAAAAATCTCGCATTTGCAATGACATGGACGGAACTAGAGGGTATTATGCTAAGCAAAAGAAGTCAGAGAAAGACAATTATACGATTTCACTCAAATGAGGAATTTAAGAAACAAAACAGAGGAGCATAGGGGAAGAGAGGGAAAAATAAAACAAGACAAAATCAGAGAGGGAGACAAACCATAAGAGACTCTTAACCATAGCAAACAAACTGAGAGCTGCTGGAGGGCGGGGGTGGAGATGGGGTAACAGGGTGATGGACACTAAGGAGAGCAAAGGATGTAAAGAGCACTGGGTATTATATAAGACTGATGAATCACTGACCTCCACCTCTGAAACTAATAATATACTATGTTAATTGAATTTAAATTAAAAAAGAAAACACCTGAAAGAAATGGAATGGCTTTATAAGGTCCTTGGGATAAATCAGGGAGAAATAAAGTGCTTTTAAATTTAACAAAACTATAGATTATGCTTTAATTACAAATATAGTAAAGTAAAAACTTCATAACTCTGTCTTTCCCTGTTTGTACTTTTAGAACCTAACTTCGCCGAGAGGCACTAAAATTACAGCAGGAAGATAAGGAGCTCTGAAATCAGATGTGCACCTGAACACTGGTTTCACCACATATTAACTGTGACCACTGATAAAAATTAACTTTGAATTTGTGCATCTACAAAATGGAGACGATATCTTCCTCCATGGATTGTCATGAAGAATAAATAAGAATACGTTTTATGTAGATCATTTAGCAGATGTAGGCTCCTTGCTTATTTCTCCTGTCCTTCTATGTCTATCAGTCCAAAGGGGTTTGCCTTACTTTCTTTGATGCTGCTTCTGCAAGGCTGCCTCTGATAACTGTCCCTGAAGGATCAGTCTTCTTTGCTTGTCAATATCTCCTTCCATTCGAGCAAAAGCATGAGAGCCGATGAAAGAGAGGTCAACTCCCAAGCCTTCAGCCTCCTCTTCTTGGCTGTCTGTAACAAAAATACTATAACTAGAGAGCTTACGACAAAACCTGACAGTAAATGCTACATTGTGAATGCTGCAATAGGGATGACGGTGACATAATAAAAAAAACTGGGGTTGAGGGAATATTTTTGAGAATCAAACTGAAATCAGATTCAGGTATCTGAAGAACTGAAATAACACAAAAAACCACCTGTCCCTGTGTGACAGAAGTTTTAGGAATACATGAAATCAAATCAAGGTGACCTGGGTATAACCTGAGGAAGGAAAGAGCAGAATGTAATGATAAGCAAAAAGATAGAATTAATTACACTGTATGCAGGTTTAAAGAAGGGCTATAGCACTGCATCTAACAAAAGAGAAATATAAAGAGCAAATGTTTGGGGTCATTTATCCAGAACTACTTAAGGAGGGAGCACATGATAAACTGACACAAAAACTGGACTCCTTTTGTCAGATAACTCTCAATGGCAGAAGGCTGGACCAGGACTGCAGAGTAGGATCCACATTCACTAAGGTATGTTTTCATTCTAACTTAGCATCCTGGTTTTCTACTGTGGTCATGCGGACATAATCATCTGACCCATAAGAGTTCTAGTTTTCATCACAAATTAATAAATCAACTTTCTAATCTATCCAGATGATCATTTTATGTTTGGCTAGAAGTCAGTACTTTGGGAACAGGTCATCTATCTCTTAGTGTGTTCCCCACTGCTTTACTAGCTTTGTTAAAAAAAACAAAAAAACCCAACTTTTTTTCCTTAAACAACAACAAAAAATGCCTTGGACCATGGGGAGCTTCCCAAGGCAATGCCACTACTTGAAACCCAGTCAGGTGGGCCATCCAGCTGGGACTTTCTTATATCTATTTCAAGCTCCTTAAACTGTGACAGGCCAATGGCTGAGAAGAGTGTGCTTTTATGAAAAACACCCATGAACAAATCACGTAAAACTGATTTTACATCTATTTTAACAGACTGAACATTCTAATTGAAAATATTTATGAATACTAGGTCTTACATCTATGAGGTAATTAAACACTCTCTGAAAATGGTGGACACAAGGAACCCTTTGGTTAATGAGTTAGCCCAGCATTATGATCTCAAATTGGGTTTGCAATTATTACTCCTTGTCATACAAAATGCATTTATGCGTTTAGGAAAAACTATATTCTACGGTGGTGGTCATGATCATGAGGATTTCCAAATAACTCTGGGCATACCCTAAAGTACATGGGTAGCCCTCCAGCAAAGCTTGGTTCAGACATTTCCTGATGGTACACCACTTATAATTCCCTCCATTTGACTTAAGGCTGTGTACTGGTGATAAAAAGGAGATAAGCAGCCTTCTACAGATTTTAACTTGATGCTCATTTAAAAGTGTTCACAGTAGGAATCTCATAGTAATTCCTAAGCTGCTGAATTTTCAGAGCAAGTTCTAGCACTGAAGCTTGTGAGGCATGTCTCCACACAAGGAGTTATGACCTTAACTGTGTACCCATGAAGATCAATATTAGCTGTCATACAGCACAGATTCAGAAGGGCTCCCATCCTACCATGATCTACCATGGCTTCAAACTACATGAGAATATAACCTAAAGAAACAAAACAAGTGTTAATGGTATTCTTGTCTTAGTATTTAATATTAGGTCTGGCTTTTGGAGGATACTGTTGAAGCTGCTGAAAATTTTAGATGATTATGTACTTGATTACTGTCTCAACAGGGTCCTGCATACAACTATAAACTTCACGAGGATGCAAATGTTGTTAAATCCACCTCTGGATCTCTACTGCCTAACAGACTTGATGGGTGTGTGTGTGTGTGTGTGTGTGTGTGTGTGTGTGTGTGTGTGTGTGTGTGTGTGTGTGTGTGTAAATATATATATATTTTAACTTAAAAGACTAAATTTTAACAAGAATAAGACTCTAAAGACATCTAAGTTGGTCTTGAACTTAATGTCACACCCATAGAGAGGTCCCTGAAGGTAGACTGGACTTTCTCCTTTTGGTGGGTTTTATCAGTCCCCGATAAAACAGGGAAATTAAGAAAAAGGAGAACTCACCCTCCGGGGCACCAGGTTTTTCACTTATTCTAATCTGTCGTTCAGGTACCACAGGCTCCCCTTCTGCATTTCCAATATCTGCAGGTAGGTATGGCAATGATCGACATTCCTCCCTTAGTGACCTTGGGAAGTACAGAGGTAGCAGCTTTTGGTAAGTAGCCTGTGTCAGAAAAGCAAGACATTCTGTGAAAAATAATGAAGTAACGAAGCACGCAAGCTTAGTCCTGTTCCAGACACCGTGAAGACAGCCTCCCTCAAGAATAAAAACCTAAGCTCAACTAGATGCTATCTGGGACCCTCAAGCAGTTCTTATATTAAGGGTCAGGATACTGTCAGGTGGTCAAGTTAAACGTGACTGCCATCCTGGCAAATTCAGGTCAGCGAACCTGGAATGCATAAATCCTGCCACTCCTGTCCTATTGTCATTTGCCCCTCCCTTGGAATATCTTTATTTATTTTTTACGATGATTTCAAGTTTATCACCTCCCATAGGAAGCATTTCCTAACCCTGTGCAGGCTGGAGTTCCTATCTATTCCATACCTCCATTAATGTACTTACCATAATTATCATAACTTATCTGAATTGTCTGTCCCCACCAATAGACAATGGATTCCTTGAGGACAATGACCCTCACTTGTTCACTGGCATATTTCCAGAATCTAGTGTAATAAACCTGGATGCTATAGACACTCAATAAAAGATCACTGAATGAATAGGTAAACCAGACAAAACAAGAGATAGCAAACAAGCAAATGAGACTCATTTTAGCAATTTCAAAAGTATTTATATATCATGTATATAGCTATTAATACCATGAACGGATATTTCACATGTATTAACTCATTCATCACTAAACTCCTGTGGTATAAGTACTACTAATACTCCTATTTTATCAAAGCACAGAGAGGTTAAGTAACTTGCCCAAGGTCACAAAACTGCAAAATAATACAAGCTAAACCGGATGGAGCATACTAAAACTAAATAAAATTTAAAAAGGGTTAAAAAAATAAATAAAGCCATTAAAAAAATAAAGAGAGTTAAAAAAAACATCATTTTCTAAAATGGCTCTAAGTGAAATTGAAACATACTAAACTTAATTACACACAACAAAACAAAACAAAACACAAACCTCACAATTTAATCAATGCTAGTCACTAGGCTAGGCTGTCATGTTTCCAGGCAAGGTAGACCCAAAGCTTTTCCAGCACAGCAATTTTCTAGTTATACTGCCCAAGCACCCAGTACTCGGATTATAAGGTGATGCCTTGAGAGGTTTTAAGAGCTAATACAGGGAGCAAAGCAGAACTACTCCACCTTGTGAGATTTCACTAAGTGAAAACAGCTTAGCAGTAAAAACATGATCAGAATGCTCCTTCTTGACTTGTTTTTAGTCTCTAATATGCATTCTTTTCAACAAAGGATGGTAAGCCCCACTGCCAAATACATACACAGAAACCGAGGATTTGCCCGCTGGCAATTCAGTAAATAGAGAATGATGAGACAAAGGCAAACAAGTAAAAATGATTTAAACAATGAAACATAATTACAAAATACCTCTTCTAGTTCAGAGACAGCAAATACTACTTTTTCAATGGTCTCCCCATGAATTTCTAGGAATCTCCTTACAGTGCCTAAGGAAAGGAATAGAAAAAATGATGCAATAAATAAGAAATACCTGTGTGAAGAAAATTCAAACTCTTCGAAGTTTTATCTTTATAATGGATCAGTACTCATTTCAGTCAGGTCTCTGCTCAGTGACACCTCATAAGTGAAGGCTGCCCAGAGTACCGTATTTAAAAATCCTTCTCTGATTTGCTTTCCTCCAGAGCAAATATTATAGACATTTTGTGGAGTTTATTTTATATCTTCTCTGCCCTCCCTGGCCCATCTGCTAGAACGAAAGTACCTCAACAGCAAGAGCTTTATTTTATTTACTGCATTACTGCCAGCTTCTAGAACAGTGCCTGGCCATAGAAGATGCTGATTCCAGACAATTCTTCCTTACCCAGTATATTTTTATTCCCTGGGGCCTCTCTCTCTGATCACATTCATTTAGTTAACAGTGACCTACTCAGCACTGCATCCCTGTCAAAATTCCATTGACCAAAGGTGAATTATTTTTTTAATTTCTATGTTATTCCTGATTCTTCCCTATCAATTTCCTATCAATGAAACCTAATGGCCTTTTCTTAGTCCCTACCTCACTAGAGATTTCTCTAGCTTTAGTTTTATGTGCCCATGCCCTACCTTTTAAAATGTTGTCCTCCACGTTTCTGTCCTCCATATTTATTTTCTTGACATATATATATATATATATGTCAAGAAATAGATCAATTTTGATATCAATTCTTGATATCCATATATCAATTTTTGATAGCAATATCATCATTATCAAGCAATATATATATACGTATGTATATTCTCTTTAGCTCACCAATTTGCTGGCTTAGCACCAATGTAACTATTGATATTCTCAAATCTTTATATTCTGTTTTCTGAGTAAAAGAGCTAATTCCCTACTGCCTACTGGGCATATCTGCCCAGGTAACCCAGAGACCTCAAACTCCAAAGGTCTGAAACTGACCTCCATCTTTACCCACCAAAATCTGTTCCTCTACTTATATTCTTTTTTTTGTCACATAGCAACATCAAATCACTCATCTGAGCTCAAATCCTGAATTTTTTAACACTTTTTTGACCTCTCCCTTCATCCTGCATTTTCAATGGGTTATCATATCCTTTATTTCTACTGCTATTTCTAACATCCATTTCTTCTCTCTTTTGGCTGCTCTCAGGATCTTAATGCTCACAAAGCCTTCAGCAATAAGCTCTTGTTTTCTTGTTTCTCTCTTTTCCAGGTCTACATATTCACTGTTGCCTGAGTTACCTTCCTTCCCTTGTCACCCTCCTTACTAAACAATTCTGAGGCTCTGCACTGCTTGTAGATTAGGATCGAAGTCCCCAGCAAGGTTTGCCACACTTGGCCTCAACCGGCTGCCCCTCCAGTCCTGCCCTTTAGTCCGCTTTCCCACTATTCCTCCCACAGGGCTTACTTTCAGCAAATTGGATTCTTTGCTGTACTCAGAACATTCCAGTTAGCTTTCATGCTGCCCTGCCTCTGCCTGCATGGTCACCTTTGACTAGAACACCATTCATTCACCATGACCTTCTATTAGTGAAGTCCTACTCATTTTTCAAGATCCAGTTCAAGGCCATCTGGTTTGTACAGAACTCCATCCTTCCTTGTGTTCCTTCTATAACGGGAATGGCCCTCCATTTGTGAACTTCTCATTGCATTTTATAGCTAGACTGTGAGCTTTCTGAAGGCCAAGTATATCTTACATTAATATTACCAGAACCTAGCATATCTTAAGATATGGCACACAACTGTTCGAAAATAACTGGCAGCTGAAGTAACATTTTATGAGTCTGGTTATCTACATATTGCTTACCTTGTTTACTACTGTATCTCGAGAATCTAAGACCCATTTGTTGAAGGACTAAATTATTTAGAATTCTCCCTCTGTTAGGTGACAAATTTATTTTTCATTTCTCTATTCTGCTTTAATGATTTTCTAAAATTGATTTTTCCAAAAGGGATTTTCTTTTATTTTGACACCAAGGTTTTTTTTTTTTAAGATTCTATTTAGAGATACAGTGTGCGCGAGCCTGTGTGAGCAGGGGGAAGAGCAGAGGAAAAAGGACAAGCAGACTCCGCACTGAGCACAGAGCCCAACATGGGGCCCGATCCCACGACCGTGAGCTGAAACCAAGAGTCGGACGCTTAAGCGACTAAGCCACCCAGGCACCGTGACAACAAGTTTTACTTAATGTTCATATATAGTGGTTTCCCAGCATACTACTGTAGGATTTCCACTGGAAGACAAAATACAATACCAGAGAATAACCAAACTGAATCCCCTCAGCAGAATTCATTAAGAAAAGTAATTCTGCAAAAAGGAGAAAAGAAAGAGTGATGTCATAGCTATAAGATTTTAGTACCAACTGCCAATTCAAACGGTTTCTTTCAGTTTCATCTGTGCACTATTCTTTGCAACCAACCAGGATGTCATGTACCTAACTTTTAGTGAAAACCCTTTAACTGGGGAGAATGACATCTGGGGCATTAAAATTCCCAACATGGAACCACAGTGAGAACAAACAGCGTCATCTTTTTTTCTCACCACTGTATTCTCTTTTCTATAGCACAGGGTCTCCTCCACAATCACTCAAAATTTTGCTGAATTAATAAATAACCTGATAAATTTATTTCAACACAGAGGTTTCTTTAGGCTTCTAATGGAGAAGAATTGAACTGTACATGAACCAAGAAAAAAAAGACAGTCTTGAGATATCTATCAAGAGGATATTACTTAGGTTTCAAATGAAATAAATTTTGGTAATAGTTTAATAAGTAGGAAAGAGTTTGGTACTAAGGACTTAGAGTTACTTATTAGATTTGTTCTTGGCCCATATATGCTGTAAAGTATACAAGCCATTAGTTTCCCAAATGCTCAGAAAGTGTGTGAGCAAAGGCCACAACTGTTTATATGTGCGTTTTTTTTTTTAATGAGAATGCTACGGTTTTACTATCAGATTTAAGGTGCAGTAAGTCAAATAGGCCTTATAAAATATAAGTTGACTTGTCCATCTTTACGTTTTCCATTTCATCTGTGCTAATTCAATTCTTAGAAACTGCTTCATCAAAGTCCCTTAGGCCACTGTTGATTTTCACCTGCTCTTACTACAATTACTGCTCAAAGTTAACACCTCTCGGGTAGATCGAGTGATTTATCAAGTGATCTAGTTTGGGAAACAGAGCTGGTGAGACTGGTAGAACTGGGATCAAAAACCAGTCTTCTGGACTCCTTTTTCAGAGGCTTTTCTATAAAATGTTGCTTCCTCTTTGAATTCTGACCTATATGATCACTTTAATAATAAGAAACAGAGACATAAAAAAAGACTTAGCTCAAAGTATGGGATGATGGGGCAAGGACTAAGGAATCAGAGAATGTCAAGACCTGCCAAGAGCTTTGCCAAAAAGAATTATACAAAGGCAGGAACTTTGCTTTGGTAAGGCACCATTCAGAATATATGCAGAGTATTGATAACATAAGAATTTCCTACTGAAGTAGTTTAACCTCAAGCGTAACTGATCTAGTATAACAGAGAAGTTACTAGACTTGGGAGTCAGGAATCTGCATAACCTTGAGAACATGATAAATTTCTGAGCTTATTTGTAAAATGGACACCTGAAACACAGGGCTGTTGAGGAAACAAAAGGGAACTTCTTTATGCCTTTTTAAAACACATATTTCTTAAGCAAGTATCATATGTAAAGCATTCCTGACATATGAAAGCACTGGAAATGCAAAGATGAAAAGATTTCTGCTCCTCAAGAAGCTCAGTCTAATATATATAAATCATAACTATAAAATATTAAATTTACCATAAGATCCTTGACTTCTAAATCTTAAATCTTAGAAGTAGCTAATTATTAAATAGGATTACTTATGTCATATTTCACCCTAAATTCTAGGCTATAGACTAATAATAATTTTATACATTGGAATATCTCACTAATTTTTTGGTGGATATAAAACTTTCAGCTCCAGTCCTCTTTAAATTCTAGAGATAGAAAGGGGTCATAAAGATCATTTGGTGTAGTTTTCCTCTTCAATGAGGAGTATCTGCAACAGATGGTCATTTAGTTTCTGCATGAATATTCCCAGTGACAAGAAGTTCACTTAAAATACCTTTCCATTAGAGTCCTATCTCAAGTGGGACCAAGTCTCTTTCCTTGTGACAATAGTCTTTGACCTGCCTTCTACCATTGGAGGTCTTATCTACAATCCTTACCAGAATCTATGAGCTTCCTGAAATCACACACAAATTCCCTCTTTATGTACATTCCTCTGGGGAAAGGGTCCACAGCTTTCCTTCAGCAGATGCTCAATGTAATTTACGATGGCTCCCAAAAGGGTTCAGAACACTGCTCCCAAAATGTAGCATAGAATAAGTTCACAATGAGACTCTTTTAGACATTTGAAGATGAGAACCATATATGCTAAAACGATGCATGGTCTTCTTTAGGAGAAATACCACTAATGTTTCAAACTGTTTGCTCTCCAGTTTGTCAGTGTCTCATATTAGATAGGACACCCAGAACTACATACAAATGTGTAGATGTGGTCTGAACCTGCATATAATACAGTGAGATCATGGGTTCTCTAGAGCTAAACACCCTATTTTTATATCACATATATGACATTCTGTCTCATTATGATTGAGTCAATTTATGTACAGCATCCCAATCCTACTTACAAAGTGCTCAATGTATGCACAGCATCTCCAATGTTACTTACGAAGTGCTATGTGTGTTGCATCCTCTAAAGGATAACCTCGTTTTGCAGAATTGATGACACAGAATCCCACAGAAGACATTGATTGCTCTCTGCAAACAGAAAACACAAACCACCAACATTCATAATACATACATATGTAAATAATTTAAAAATGCAGCTCAACTTCTCTTTCCCTACCCCCTCAACAAATCTATTATAACAGGTAATCCAGTTATACTTTTTAATAATTACATCAATATTATAATTGTACCATTTGGGGGAAATATATTCCAAGTAAAGACTGAGTAAAATGGGAACAGGTTAAATTCTTTAGTCACCCAAATCCACTCCTTTTATCCTGCTAAGTATGTGAAGATAATTAATTTTATCTTCAGAGTCCTCTTATGTGATTTAAATCCCTCAAAACTGACTTCCACAGCTAGGTTTCATTCTGAAGCTGGGGCCTTTCACCATATACGGCATGCTGCGTCCAGGAAGTGAGGGAGCCATACTTGGCCAGCTGAAGCACGTTTCTGTAGCAGCTGTACAGGGAACTCTCAGCAGCAGTGCGGTAGCGGCTCTTGTATTTAGGTCCCACTGTGTGGATGATGAACCGGGCAGCTAGATTAAATCCTTTCGTCAATTTGGCTTCACCTGTCCGGCAACCTGGAAACAATGGAGCGTACATAAGTCATGGAGGTGTCAGGAAAAAAAAAAAAAGGTGACGAAACAAGGCATGAAACAGAAAAGTAGTAAGAATTTTGAGAAATTTCAATTAAAAATATGGATCGAACACCAACATTTATCTCTGTTCCCAAAATGACAGTGAAGCAATATAATAGGTATAAGAAACAGAGACAAAGAGAATGGGAGAGGACACGAAGCAGATCGGCATCATCAGAATTTTGGAAGGCAGAAAATAAGTGCCTAGAAATAACTCATTTAGCAAGCAGAGAAACCTAACTGCTCGTAGAAATAGGGTCACCAACAGGAAGCAAGCTGGTTTGTAATGAAAGGCAGTGTTGGATTCAAGATAGACTGCTTTGATTCAAGTCCTGAGTCTACCACCTTCCTGCTGTACTACCTGGGCAGGTGCCTGGCCTCGCCATGCCTCATTTTCCTAATTCCCTAATTAGGAACACTACTGGTATCCTACTCCCTAATGGGAATACTACTGGTACTTACTTCACAGGTCTAGAGGAGTTAATACATGCAAAGTACATACATGCATTATGTATCATTCTAATTGTTGTTATTATTACAGAACACTAGAAAGGCTCAAAAAGTGGAGACCTATGTACTTCTAAAAGCTATGACATGAAGTGGAACTAAAGAGAGGAGGCTGAGTTAAATTTGCATAGAAACAGTCAAATCTGCAAGAACCTTTTCCCCAGCCAGCACAGCAAGGTGATGATTTATCACCAGAGCAGTGGGAAGGTTTACTCTCTAGAGATGCTGAACTAGAGTTTCTGGACCCCAGAACCCCAGGCATGGCTGAAAAGACGGGATTTAGTTAACGTGTTACACTCAACAGTGATAGCTCTAGCCTTCTGCTCCTAATTGGCTTCTGAAACACAGACACCCACACTTACACCCCTGAAAGATTCCTTTCCAGGAAACTAAGAGGCCCAAACCAAAGTACTCACAGATTGTGACAACTAAACAACAAAACAACAGGGCTCCTGCTCATCCTCTGCTTCTAGATCCACCAAGCAGTAACTCTTGCCCATGCACACAAAGCTTCCCTTCACTTTCTCAGTTCCTCCCTCATAAATACAATTGGCACACTGACACTCAAGGATCACCAGGAAGTGAGCAAAGCCTCTGGCCACAGAGGCGTCAAAGCAATGCTCAAAAAGGAGAGAATGCAACTCCCAATACCATAATCACTACTGTCAGAGAGGTAAGAGAAGATATGGTATCTCTGAAACAAAAACAGAATGTAATAAGGAAGAAATATTCAGAGAACAGGAAGAAGTGCTTATATAATTTATAGCCAAATAAAAAACATGATAGCAGTAACAAAAAGTTCAATAGGTGGGTTAAAGCTAAAGTTAAGGAAATCTTCCAGAAAATAAAAAGCTGGAAAATAAATAATACATGAAAATTGGAGGGTTAAACAAGGAGGTACAACATCCAATAGAATTTCTTCAAAGAGAGAACAAAGAATACAGAGGGAAGGAAATTAGGAAAGAAATAAAACAAGAAATTTTCTGGAACTGAAAGTTTCTATACCAAGGAGCCCACAGGATACCCAAACCACACCAAGGCACCTCACTATGAAATTGAGAACACTTGAAATAAGATGAGATCATAAAGTTTCCAGAGAAAAAAACAGTAACATACAAAGCATCAGGAATGAGAATAGCATCCGATTTTTCAAGAGCAATAATAAAAATTGGGAGCAATGCCTTAAAAAACCTGGAAAATGATTACCAACTTAGAATTTCATTTCCAACCAAACTTCTAATTAAGTATGAAGGTAGAAGATCTCAGCAATTTTGCCCCCATCCATCCTCAGAAATCTCCTGGTAGATTTACTCACAGAAATTAAGGAGTATATCACAGAAGAGAAAGGCACGAGATCTAGAAAATGAGGGGATCCAATCCACTAAACAGAAAAAAGGATTTCCTAGGATGTTAACTCTACAACAGGTATAGAGAACAGTCTAGAGAGGAAAGAGGCTGGGGGATTCCAGGGGGTACCGTATCAAGAAAAAAATGGAGCTGAAAGATAAACAGAAGTTTTGACTTTTGAGAGGTTTACAGTTATTTAAAAGTCTGGGATTGAATCAGTAAGTTAATTAATTAGAAAATTAAGTAATCAGATCAATAATTTAGAGGAAAATAATTGTACAAAAAGAACACTAATCAGTTTTGTAATCAGTGGTGAGTAATATTTATACATTCACAATGTTAATGTTGAATGCGGATTTAATAAAAATTTGACAGGCCAATCTGGGAAAGTGGTGAAGAGGGAAGAAAATGTGAGTATTTTATGTATAGGCAAATGAGGGGAGTGGATGAACAAGAGTTTAATCTTTAATTTCCACAATAAGAAGTCAACAGACAGGGGGAAAAAATCAATACAATAGTTGTAGTGTATTATATGGAAACAGAAGGTAAATAAAATAAGGAACTTAAAGGTTTGAAAGTAGAGGTCCCTGGAGAACAGGAATCAAGGCAGGAAAGGGAAAGGCAGAGAACTGTAGCTTTCCTTTGTACATAAAATTCTTTAACTTTTAAAACCACATATACATTGATCTATGAAAAGCCATAAGCACAAAGTGACACTCAAAAAAGAGAAAAGCTTTTGGAAAACCGTCATTTGGCACCACTTGAGGCAGCTATTAAACCAATTCTTTATTTTGAAAAATGGTAATTAAAAGAAGTAAGCATTTACCCTGCCCTCTTACAGAAACTGTAATCCAGAGTAACCACATGTCAGTTATTGAGGAAAGACTCTACAGGCATGTAACCATGGATATAATGACAGGTTTTAGAAAAATACAACTTCACAATCTTAATGAAATTACCGACTCAGACAAGGACTATATAAATAGTTGCTAAAACCATTATGTGAACGTGTGACAGAGAACTGGACATTCATGGAGCTTAAATAACCCCATATTGATTACTTTTCAGTCACAAAGGGTAAAACAACTATATAAATAGAAGAATCAAGTTGTCATCACTATTCTATAACAGAGAACCATCCTAGTGTTAGTAATGGTTCACTAATGGGTCAATCAGATTTTATACATCTTCCAATTTGATACATTAAGTATACAATACAATAATCACCTATGGAATGCTTAAGCCAAACCTGATTCCATTAGATATAACTTCTAGATTATAGGAGATACAAGGGATAAAGCAACAAACCAAATGGCACCTCAGGGTAATGAGATAAATCCAGAAGGTGGGCCATCTTGGAAAACATTTTAGCCTAGTACTCAACAAATTAGTGTCATAAAAAGGGAACTGAGTTGGATGAGAAAAAATTTTTTAAGATACAACAATTAGAAGTATGACCCTGGACTGGATATTAGCTTGGACAAACTAGCTGCAGAAGGCATTTCAGGGTCAACTGGAAATTTAACATATGATTTGGGTATTAGATGAAGTAATTTCTGAAACCAAAAGGTGGAATTCATTTGCTGAAGCAGAATGCAGAACAGTATGTGTACAATTATCTTATCATAGATAAGGACTGTATACATATAATTATTTCATGCTGGTAACAAAATATTTAAGAATGTATGCATATACCCACATATACCTACAGAAAGATCCAGAAGAATATGTACTATAGGACTAGTACTGGTGATCTTCGTGTGGTGGAAATGTTAAGTTTTCATTTATTTTGTAGCCTCTGTGCATATAATTTCTACAATTTACATTTATTGCTACTGTAAGTAGAAAACAATTATTCAAACGAAATATATATATTAAAAAAATAAAGCAAGCAAGCAAACATGTATTTGGGCAGTCAGTTTGCAGAATCAATCCTGAAGATCTCTGAGGGCAGACTACAGAAACAGAAAAGAATTGCTAAGTGTTCAGGATACTCTGGTTTTGGGAATCCCACCTTTCCTTTAATAATTGTTAACCAAAACTCAGAACTCTGGAGACTAGATGTAGGCTAAGTACTGTTGCATTGCTTCCCAATCTTCCATTTGTTCTTTCTAAGCCGATTTCTTCTAACCCAAAACCCAAATCCTGACATGAGTATGAACAGTTAAAACACAGGAAAGTATTTTTAATTCCTGTAAAACAAAGACAAATTTACTGAGTAAGTTCGAGTTCACTCCAGCCATAACTCTGTCCAGTGCATTTTTTACCCCTGACTACATCCTCCGCTAAGGAGCACCTGCTGCAATGATAACCTGAATATATCTGAGTACTAAAGATTAATTAGGGCTCTCCAACTTCACTTATTTCTCTCTAAATCCCGACATCCACAGTAAGAAACACAAAAGTTGTCTTAATGTTTACAGCAAAGAGTTCTATTCATAAACTTAGCAATCAAAAAATGTAGTATATGTCTTCCCATCCTAGCAAACCTGTGCATTTAATACCAAGTGATGGAACATTAAAGCAGCAAAACTATACAGTGATCCTGATGGGAGAAGAAAGTATTTTTCTCATTTTGCACAAGGAGATACTTACACTACTTAAGTATTTAATATTTAAGTATTTAATTACATGTATTCTTGCCCAGAAACAAGTAGGCGAATTATCAGACGCTATTCTGACCCTAAAGCTGAACATCATTTATCAATCTCTCTCTTATCACACATTCTTTACCAAAACAACAGCCCCACACAGCTTTAGGTTCATAAAATTCCTAAATTCAAGGACTGGACATAAGACTGAGATACAAACACACACATTTTTTTTTTTTTTAATTTGGATATAATAGGCCAAATCTGCCCAATTCATTTTTAGGAAGCTCTATTTCTTAGAAAACTTTCTCTAAATGAACTGAAATGAAGTTTTATGTATCTTCCCACCAAGGATTCTAGGAACACAATAAAATTATGTCTCACTCTCTTCAGTATGAAGCTTTTTCAAATGTTTGGGGAATACAATCATGTTTCCCTCAAATCTTCTCTGTGCCAACCCTAGCCCTTTAAACTATATCTTCAAATGATACAGTTTCC